AGATACAACGAAATAGCTCGAAGATATAATTTAGTATCAATATTATCAGGAAAAACTATAAAAGAAATTCAAGGAGACCTATGGAAAGAATACCTTAAAACATATTGCGAGCAACAAGGGTATCAAATAAACCAAGAGCAACAAGGAATCTTAGGAGAGTTACAAACAAAAATTTATAATCTAACAAAGAAGGAAATAACCAAAGAACGACTATTAGAAATCTTTAACCAACTAATTAAAGAACTACAAACTAGCTATAACCAAATTCAACAAATAAATATTATACGAAACAAGTACCTATCAGGATTAACAGAAAATCTCATGAGAAGAACAACTCATTTTGAACTAATCATAAGAAGTGAACAATGACTTCTCAAAAGAAAGAACTACCAAAACTTCATGATCATAAACTAAAAGAAAGTTCTGACAACAAATAGAAAAAGGAGTACCAGACTCAGGAATAGAAATATATAAAGAACAAATGTTCAAAATAACACCAATTGAACAACCAATAAAAATAGAATTTGAAACTATGGAAAAACCAGAACAAATAATAGAATATATACTAAGAGCAAATACAATAATATTTGCAGGAGCAATAGCAACCAGAAAGACAACCATGATCAACCAAATGGAAGAATACCTTAAAAAACAAGGACAATATGTAATTCGAACACAAGAACTAATATCAAAAATATCTGAACTTCTATAATTAATGTATAACAACATATCAAAATATGCATTTACTCTACAAATGTGTATACTACAAGAATTCCAAAAAATGTGGTATCAACTCATCCTAATGCAAGAAAAAGGAATAATTACCATATCAACATATATCCTATTAGATCGAACATTCATAGATATATTAATATTCGAAGAAATAAACATTCACGATTCAAAAGAAAAACAAATTTTAAGAAAAATCTGAAAGGAATTAAAAAAAGTACTATATGAGTACAATCCAATAGTACTATTCTGTAACCCAGATAAGAAAATAATGATTTAACGAAAACTAACAAGAGATCGAAAAGAAGAATGGAATGTCAATGTAATATACCTTGAAGAAATATATAATCTCTACAAAAAACATATTAAATCAATATACCCAACATATATTGAAATAAACAACAATCATAAAAATCTTAATGATATAATCAGAACAATACTAATGGAAAAACTATTTATTGAATACCAAATAATGTTAACAAATCAAAGATAGGCACACCAAAGATACGATACACCACAATTAGAAGAAGTATCTATTCTACCAATATCACCAAAAATAGAAATAGAAATAACATGAGGATATACAGTAATAATTCCATATTTAACTGAGAAACAAAAAACCAAGATAATCTTCAAAATCTTGGTAGCACAAAGAACCAGATGTAACATATATCAGAACCAATGGTCATGCTTCGGAGGAAAATATGAACCAAAAGATAAAATATATTACCAAAGCATTAAATGAGAAGCGATGGAAGAAATCAATCTAAAAATAGATGATTCACGAATGCAATTAATAATAGTACATAATTATTATTCTAACAATAAAAGTAGAACACAACCATTATACAACAACCAAGTGGTGAAAAAAGAAGTAACAACAACAAACCAAATCGTTATACCAATTACTATATAAATTAGATGATAAAGAAAAGAAAACAATTCAGAATATGGAAACCGATAAACAAGGACCATTCCAATATCTATCATACGACCAAGTACAATATTAACTTTTTACGCTAAGCATCCACTTGTACAAAAAAAATTATTTGAATTATTAATACCATATTATGAGAATGAACATCAATTCTGATATAGAAGGATCATACCTTCCATGACATATGATCTACACAAATTGGACATAAATAGAGAATTTCCAAAAGAATTATTCCCAAAAGAAGAAATACGCCCACCAACAATTAAGGGGCGATAAACAAAGACAAACCAATAGAATGACTGAATTACCTGTACAAGCAATTCTCACTTTCAATATCAAGAGCTCAGAAACACAGCAGCATATACAGGTAACTTGAGAAATGTGCTGACAATTATCATACCAAAAAAAGAAAAATCAAATTGACGATCTCACCAATGATCAATCCAAAATTACGACAAAAAAATAAAAAATAAAAAAAAATAATAAAAATCGTAAATAAATAAAAAAAAAACAATAAGTGTATTGTTATACACAAAAAGCCGCATAATATAACTAACCCAGAAAAATATTCAATTATAATACCGCTATACCAAATATTCAGGAAACTTCGAAAAATCGCAAAAAAACTAAATTTAACAAAAAATCATTTATATTACTTAATTAACAATAGTTTAATACAATAGAAAAGTATATAATCAAATTTAACTTTTTATTATTTAACATTCGAAATATGTACTACTTGAAAAAGTATTTAACTACTGAAATTTAACTTAGCAAGAACTTCATACATTTTTGATAAATTTACCAAATAACTAAGTTTGATACTTAGTAATTCATTTTGAAATAATCAACATTTTATAAATTATCCTTTGCATAATAACATCGATACATAGAGTATAACACCTACAACCCAACCGATATAATAATCATATAAAATCATAAAAGAAATTACCATGAAAAATAAATCTAACTAGCGTATATTCTTATAATAATAACCTGTATACATATAATAAACATATTTAATAAATGAAAAATGTTTTATAAACAAAACACATTTGACTCTTATTATCTATTAAAAGTACTTACGTGATAAAGAAGTAAATTGGAAAAATATACAAACAGAGGATATTAAACTTTACTTACGTTTGATTTAAAGAATTGATCACTCTACGAAGATAACTGCAATCACTTAACGAAATAATCTTTAATAAGTTATTTTACAAAAACACATCCAAAGAGATGAAAATAATTATATATCTTATATTAACACTACTAGCCTTCATAATTTACAATGATCTAGATAACATATTATGACCAAATCCAGAAATACACTGTATAATTACCTTAGAAAAAGAATTACTTTCCCAAAACTGACCCTCTCAATATTTACAAACAATACTTGAACATAGCTATAGATATCAATGAAAAAAATTTAACAATATATATTATATAATTTATTGTCCAAAAGAAATTATACAATTAAGGAAACCTTGAAAAAACATATTTGCAAACACCAACGTAATAGTACTAATAACATTAACGCCAATTGCTTGCTTGCTTTTTTCTCTAAATCATTGTCTCCATTACAAATATCAACATCTTCTCCACATTATTAACAAGTACAACATTATCTTCAACACTATCGCCATTTTACCAACACGACAAGAACTTAACCAACCTTTATTAAACCCAAATTACGAAAAAGCCTTTAAAAGATTTGGAGACTTGATACCAAACCAAAACCAAAGATACTTCAGCAACAGAAGTCTAACATATTTACAAAATAGGTTAACACCAAATCTAAGATACCTAAATAACCAACACTTGTATAAACCAGTAAAATCTAGAAAAACTAATCAATCACACAAGTTTAACTATCTTAACTTAATACCAAGTAAAACGAACAAACTACATAAACAACAGTTCAATCCAAACTATTAAAGAAAAACAAGTTATATTTTCAATGATACAAGTATCAACACCAACTGTAACTCAAAATGTAACAATAACAAGTACCCAAGTAACAACTTTAACTACAAACTACACCCAACAAACAATACCAAGTTACTTTACTAATTTTAACGTCATAACTCAAGACATAGTAACTGTAATATTAATCATATTAATAGTACTTATATATACTTGCACCAATTATCAAAGAAAAATATTAGAAAATGAATGAATAATTAAACAACAATGCAAAGAAGCAGACAGACTCTACAAAACAATACAACAAGTACCAAATTTAAATATAACCTCTAAATGCAACTTATTAAACGAGCAGCAATTAGAATACTTTTACAACTAGGCATACTTATATTATTATTACTATATATTACCATCAACTTACCATTTATAGTAACAACAATAATATTTATAATAACTAAAACAATATACATAATAATTGAAGAAATATACAAAGACTACATAATACAAGAATACACTTTACTATTGTATAATAGAATATTACTTATATTACAAGATAAACCTTATATACCACAACAATCCAAAACTACTTAAAACTGGACACAACAATCCAAAACTTCATACCTAAAATAAACTACAATGCAACCATACAGTGGATAACTGAAAGATCACTCATACTCATAACACTCAACCCAGACCTAATATGACTATTTGAAACATCAATAAAATATTATATTATATACCTGATTACATACGTAATCGCACAACATATACATCTTATTGTAATAGCAATAAATGTCAAAACAAAACCAAAGAAGAAAAATGAACCAATTGAATTCATAGACAAAGAATACACAATAGACTTCGACAAACTATTAGAAGATTTACTAAGACCAACTGAATCAGAAGAACAAATGAATTATAAACCTTTGAACTCAACTGAACAACTATTTTATTCAAGAATAAAACTACTAGTAAATAACAAAAAAACCAGTATCATTAACAAATCTAGAAAAAGCAACCTACTTAATCTGTACAATACGATCCAACGAACTGAACGAAAAACTACAAGATATAGCAAAACAATTCAACCTGAATCTAGAAGAAGCAATAAAAACAACAAAAACAAAATACCAACTTAAATGAGCAAACAAATTAACTATCAAGAAATACTAAACTGATATTACCCTTTTGACAACTACTATTACAATAAATATACAAGATATTATAAAACCTTTACAAGAAATCTAAATTCACCAAGAAAACCTATATTTATTTAAATAAACAACGAAATATATCTTGACAAAAACAAATTTGATAGAAACGAACAATTAATCCAACAAGCACTAATACGAACATATAATAGCTCAATAACTGAAAACCAAAAAACAGGTGCACTAATATCCTGTCACATAGTAAAAGACGAAACAGCATTATTATTATTATTACAATCAGATGGATTACAACTAGAAGACTATATTAGATTTTGTGCATACGCAAACGTAAAACCAATCAAACTACCAGAAAAAGTAATACTATAAGATAGCTTTTACTGGAACAACAACCGAATTCCCATCTTTAGAAAAAATAGACTTTACTAAAGTCATGGACGGAATGAAATTTAATGGACAAAACTGGCCAAAATTCTATGGAATATTCATAAAAAATATCCAAAGTCATATACCAAAAGAATTACTCACAACTGGATTCTTTACTAGAAGTAAATACTCAGGATACCAAAAAATAGATGATATGGCAACAATAGTAGCTAACCCAACAGCAGACGACCTACATAGAAGACAATTTAACATAGTATACATGAAACAACTATGACGAAAACTAGTACTACAAATATTCAACAAAATATACCAAGATGCATACTTTGAAATAGAAGAACACTTTAACTGTATATTCCCAAGCAACTGGCATAATGGACAAAGAACGCCACCAGATACATGTACTGAATCAACAACAGGAGGAGGCAATCCAAACTCATTAAAAATAACAAAATACTTTCCAACAATTTTACATGTAAATTACCGTGTAATGAATAATACCCCTGCAAATGTAATAAAACCTGGACAAGGAAACTTATTAACAGACTGGCCTGCTAATACAGATTCAGGCGCAGCACTCTCAAAAC